TCTCAAACTCCTGTGTTCAAGCAGTCCTCCTGCCTCAGCCTCCTAAAGTACTGGGATTCCAGGTGTGGGCCGCTATACCTGGCCAAATGCTGTCATTTCTACCTTCAAAACCTTTTTAAGTGGCATCTGTCCAAGCCTCTCTGGGCCTCCATTGTCCAATAGAACCTTCTGTGAGGATGGAAATGTTCTCTGTCTGTACTGCCTGATACAGTAGTCATTAGCCACATGGGTCTATTGTGTATTTTAAATGACTGAGGGACTGAAGTTTTTATAGCAGCTTTATTGAGGTATAACTTATATACCATCTAATTCATTTACAGTTTGCAATTCTATGGATTTTTAACATATTCATGGATTTTAACATATTCATGGATTTGTACAGCTATCACCACAATACATTATAGAACATTTTTATCACCCTCAAAAGAAACCTTAATTATTAGGAGTTACTCCCCACTTTCCCCAAGCGCCTCCAGTACGTGGAAACCACTGGTCTATTGTCTGTCTCTGTAGATGTGCCCACTTCTGGATGTTTCATAGAGATGGAATATGTGGCCTTTGGCGTCTGGCTTCTTCACTTAGCATAAGCTTTTCAAGGTTCATCCATGTTGTAGCATGTATCCGTTCTTCATTCCTTTTTATTGCCTGATAGTGTTCTATCATATTGATACACCACATCTTACTTACCAGTTCACAGTTAATGGACATTTGGGTTATAAATAGGCTGTTGTGAATAATGAATAACGCTGTTCATTATTTTAAGCTATTATGAATAATTATAATGATGGTGCTAGAGCATTTAGGTACAAGGTTTTATGTGTTTCATTTGTACGTTTCAATTTCTCTCGGGTATGTACCTGGGAGTAGAATGGGTAGGTCACATGGTAACTATACGTAGCCCTCTGAGGAACTGCCTCATGGTTTTCTAGGGTTTGCACCATCTCACTTTCCCACCAGCAATGTGTGAAAGATATAATTTCTCCACATCTTGTTACTGTCTGTTTTTTTTGTAGGCACCCCAGTGGGGGTTAAGTGGTATCTCATTGTGAGATAAAGTTCCACAGGGTAATCATTGTGGTTTTGATTTTGTATTTCTTTAATGGCTAATGATGTTTAACTGTTCTTCATGCACTTATTGTCCATTTTGATATCTTCTTTGCAAAAATGTCTATTCAGACCCTTTCTCTATTTTTAAATTTTTTGGGGGAGTGCTTTTATTGTTTAGTTATAGGAGTTCTTTGTGTATTTTGGATACAGGATTCAGATACATAATTTGCAAGTATTTTTTCCATTTTTCAAGATGTCTTTTTATTTTCTTGCTGTTGTCCTTTGAAGCACAAAGTTTCTAATTTTGAAGAGCCTGCTTCATCTACATTCTTCTTTCCTCATTGTGCTTTTGGTGCCACATCTAAGAAACCATTGCCAGATTCAATGTCATAAAGATGCAAAAGTTTTATCATAAGAGTTTTATAGTTTCACAACTCAAAAAAAAGTCAAATACTGCATGCTCTCACTTATAATTAGTAGCTAAGCAATTTGTACACATGGAAATAGAGTGTGGAATGATGGGTGCTGGAGACTCAGACGGGTGAGAGGGTGGGAAGGAAAACAGTGATAAGAAATTCCTTGAATAGATACAATGAGCGTTATTCAGGTGATGGAGACACTGAAAACCCAGACTTCACTCCAATATGTCCATGTAACAAAATTGCACTTGCACCCCTTAAATTTACATCAATTTAAAAAAGTGATTTTACAGTGTTGGTGCTATGATCCATTTTTTAAATATTTTATTGTGATAAAAACATCAGCTTTGCCATTGTAACTATTTTAAGCGTACAATTCAGAGACATTAACTGCAGAATGTTATGCAACCGTCAGCACTATGCTTTTCCAAAACTTTTTCATCACCCCAAACTGAAACTCAGTGCTCATTAAGCAGTAACTCCTCATTCTCCCCTTCCTCCCGAGCGTCAGGTAGGAATGGATTTTTTATTGTATTTTTTTCAATTAATTTAAATGTAAACAACTGAATGCATCTGGTGACTACCATATTGGGCTGCATAGTTAGAACACGACTAGGAGCATCCTCTTGGATGGGTTGCTACAGTCATTTCTAAGCCGGCTTTGCATCTATTGTTATTCCATTTATGGATATGGTCCTTTCTCCCATAAAAGCTGGACTATTCCTTTAAGAATGTAACTTATACCATTTCATTTCCACCTCTAAATCTTCATGTGGTTACTTATCACAATTAACAAAGAAATCCAGGCTCTTCACTGTGGTCTGCATTTGTCTGCCCTTTCGACTGTCTCCATCTCCTTTGCCTTCTCCCAGTGCCTGCAGCCCAGCTGGTCTCTACAGTGATCCTTGAGCTCATCAAGTGCTGTCTGTATTCTGACTCTGCAGTTTCTCTTCTCTGCCTGGAACACTCGCCCTGTCAATCCCCATTTAGCTCACTCAGATCTCTCAAATGCCACCTCCTCACAAAAATTGTTCCAGAGCTCCCTATCTAAAATGGCAAACCCTGTCACCTGGATGCTGTTACTTTATGTTGTATCTCCTGTGTTTTATTCTCATTTTTTTATTAAGAGAAGGTCTTAGTCTGTCACCTAGGCTGGAGTGCACTGTTGCAGTCATGGCTCACTGAAGCCTCAAACTCCACATCTCAAGCAATTCTCCCACCTCAGCCTCCCAAGTAGCTGGGACCACAGGCAAGCACCACCAAACTTGGCTAATACATTTCTTTCCACTACACTCAGCTAATACATTTATTTCCCTCCCCTCCTTTCCCCTTCCCTTCCCTTCCTCTCTCTCTCTCCTTCCTTCCTTCCTTCCTTCCTTCCTTCCTTCCTTCCTTCCTTCTTTTTTCTTTCCTTCCTGTCTCACTCTGTTGCCCACACTGGAGTGTAATGGCATGATCACTCACTCCAACCTCCGCCTCCCAGGTTCAAGCAATTCTCCTGCCTCAGCCTCCTGATCAGCTGGGATTACAGGCACGTGCCACCAAACCCAGCTAATTTTTTGTATTGTTAGTAGAGATGGCTTTCACCGTGTTAGGCAGGATGGTCTCTATCTCCTGATCTCATGATCCACCCATCTCAGCCTCCCAAAGTCCTGGGATTACAGGCGTGAGCCTCTACACCCGGCCTCCCTTACTTTTTTAGCTTACTCCTTTCCTTCCCTTTTAATGAAGTCCTGCCTAAGCTCCAGTCTGTCCTTGCCACCTCTCCCCTGAGCTTTGAGACTATTCCTTTTTAAGTCAGTGGCTACGGCTCTCCCTGCTCTCCTGGTGTAACTCTACCCAGCATCAGGCCCTCTGTTTAGAGCAGTGCATGATGTTGCTTTCCTGGTTCATCTCCCCTTATCCACAGATTTACCTGGCTGGAATAAGGAGACAGCATGTGCCCAGGGGCTGGATTCAGGGACCCATGATTACCCAGTCCCACTTAGGGCTCCATCGTTATGCTATTTTAGGAAAATAAATAGATCTTGATTCTCTAATAAGAGTGGGATTCTTCAACCAGCATTGGGTAAATCAGCAAGCCCAGATATGTGTGTACATAGCAGCTATTGTTTGGAAATTTGAACACAGACATCCTTCTCTTCCCAGCCTGTGGGACACAAACCAGGACTGAGTATAAAAAAGAATAAAACCAGCTGGGTGCGGTGGCTCACGCTTGTAATCCCAGCACTTCAGGAGGCCAAGGTGGTTGGATCATAAGGTCAGGAGTTTAAGACCAGCCTGGACAACATGGTGAAACCCCATCTCTACTAAAAATACAAAAAAAAAAAAATAGCCACCTGTAATCTGAGGCTGAGGCAGGAGAATTGCTTGAACCTAGGAGGTGCAGGTTACAGTGAGCCAAGATAGCGCCACTGCACTGCAGCCTGGGTGACAGAGCAAGACTCCATCTCAAAACACAAACAAACAAACAAAAAACAAATGCCACATGTTCTCTCTTATAAGCGGGAACTAAACACTGGGTACACATGAACATTAAAGATGAGAACAGTAGACGCTGGGGAACTTGACGAGAGTTAGGGAAGAAAGGCTTGGAAAACTACCCCTTGAGTACTATGCTCACTACCTGGTGTCAGTCATTTGTACTCCAGACCTCAGCATCACACAGTATACCTTTGTAACAAACTGCATGCGTACCCCCAAATCTAAAACAAAAGTTGAAAGAAATAATAATAAAGGGAGGTTGGCTGTGTCATCCAAGGAAACCAAGCCTGAGGTTAAAATAGGCTCTGACCACTCAGGACAAAAAACAGATTTCTCTGTGCAGGTGCAGATTTCTCTGTGCAGAGATGAAGAAACAACTCTAATAGCGTTCTGCTTTAATGGTTGTTATATACATTAACATAGCCATCCTTGAAAAGGAAAATGTAGGAAAACTGAAGCTTTAAATCCTTCTTGTATTTTCTAAACTTCTGTCATTGGAGTACTTGTATTCCCCCAATTGATAGACTCCAGAAGTTCATACAGTTGCAAATGAGAACATGAGTAGTAAATACCCCCCAAATTCTTTCCAAATGCAGTCATTATGAATTGATTTAATATGCATGTAGTTATCCTTTTATTGGTCCATAATTCCAATTTAGCAAAAATTAAAGATGAATCATAAAGGAACACTTGGAAAAAGCCCCAACATTGGTGGCACTTAATAAAAATAGATGAATATGTTCTTATTCCTTTTAAAAAAAAAACTGGACAAAGGTAAATTTTAATGTTTATAAAAAGGTAAATTTCAGTGCAGATCAAGTGGTTGGTTGGTTTCTTGGAAGCTTGACTTTATTTGCTTCATTTGGAGAGAATGTAAGATGAAAAAGTTCATCATTAGCAAGAGAAGTGGGTGTTAGAATCACAGGATGGGATTCTAAAGTATTCTGTGAGTTGATGGATGTTCCCAAAGTTCCCTGTTTAATGTTCTGAGTTAAACAGGTGGCCATGTTCAGTTCCTTGGATATTAATAGTAACTTCTTTGTTTTTCAGATACTGTGTTGGCCAGTGGTCATGCCACCGACTATTTATTTGTTGGAAACATTGTTTACACAGTAAGTTTATCTCTGCTTGTTAAGCCGTTCTTAAACAACTCATGTGGTTCGCACTTCTCTAAACCCTTAAAAAGGGCCTTCCTCATTATTATTATTTATTTCAAACCTTCAAAATGTATTTTATATGTCCTTTAAAGTTCAAAATGATTGTGAAATGCTTACATCATCCTTTCTGAAGGTTATGCAGAGTCAAGGTTTCTGGACAGGTGGTTAACAGATTTCTCCATTCTTCAAACGACCATGTTACATCTACCTGTAAAGGAAAACAACACTCAGAAAGGTGCTTTCTCCCAAGCTAAGGAAAGGGCAAGACTGTTATTTATGAGAAAGACTGTTACTAGAATGAAAGCCCTTCTGGAAGTGAAGCTGCCTGTATGTTCCCTGAAAATAACCCCTAGAGAATTAGCTACCGAGATGGTGCATACTTGCGAACCAGAGCTGCCTTGGAGAAGCTAGCTCTGGAGTGGAGAGATGGGATTTCTCACGGAAAGGGAAAATAACTCACTGAGAATCACGTTTTTCCAAACTGTTTTTTATTTTCACAGTATGTTGTTGTTACTGTTTGTCTGAAAGCTGGTTTGGAGACTACAGCTTGGACTAAAGTAAGTTTTCTCTCAAATTGTTTCTCTGTTCAGTATAGTTAGTTTTCATGCTATAGTTTCTTTTTAAGCCTTGGAGAAACAATAAGCAATATCTGGCTATCTTATTTCAGATTTTGTATGTAAAAATTGTGGTTTGATCTTTATCAGGTAAATTTGCAATCCAAAGTCTCTTGGTGATTCATTTGCTTGGCACATAATACAGCTCTAAGCTGTTGACCGTCATCTCATTTCAGATATATATGCTCATTGTAAAAACAAAAACCATATATACACACACTGGAAAATATAGAAGGACAAAAAACATTTAATGTCCATAATTTTACCACCAAGAGGCAGTCACCATTAATGCTTTCCTGTGGAAACTTCCAGACTTCATCCTATGTCTGCATGTGTGTGTATTTTTTAATAAGATGATACATTATAGAACATAGGACTTTGTAATCCCTTTTAATTAAATATATATTAGGGACTTTGTAATCCCTTTTAATTAAATATATATTAGGCACATTTTCTGTGCCTTAAAATATTCAGCAAAATTATCGTTCGTAAAGAGTATTGCGTTTTACAGACGTTCCATCATTTATTTCATCAGTCTCTTCTTTTAGACATTTCAGTTATTTCCAGCATTTAAAGATTATAACTAAAGCTTAATGTGTGTCTCTCACGAAGTCTCATGACCTGGCTGCTGTTTAAATGCTCTGCTAAGAAAGATGGGGAATGGACTGGAGGTCAGTGTGGGAATCCCCTAAGAGACAGTAGCAATTAATCTGGGTCAGAGGTGATGATGACTTCACTTAGGATGTTAGAGAAGGAGGTAAGGAGAAGTGGTCAGAGTCTAGATTCAGTTTTATCTTTTTAAAAGCTAACAGAACTGACATATGGATTAGACTGTGGGGTGTGAAGAGACAAGTCAAAGAGGAGAAAAAATGAACTCAGTAGATGCTTAAAGGGGCATTGTTAAGAGGCAGTATCCATTTCAGATTAAAGAAAAAACTCTTGCCTAAAGGAATGGAACAATCCAAGTCTTGAAATTATAAATAAAAACATCTTATTTTGTCTGTTCAGCCACTCTGTTGCGAGAGTAATGAGTCCTTATTGCATGTACCCCCGGATTGGAGCAAACACTTGCCATGAGCTGAGAGGGGCCCACTGTCACTGTGGGATAAATCTTAGAGTAAGGTCACCTGTGACAGCAAAAGCACCTTCATCTTCAGAGTACTTTGCGGCCATTCATGACTTGAATTCATTGTTAAAAGTTCTGAGACACAGGAATTAGAAAGATTGACTTCCTATTAACTGGTGAGTCATCAGAATCATACCATAAGGAAAGGTAGCTTGGATGCAAGGATTCTGTAGCAAGTGGAGCTCGGGTGAATCTGCCCGGACAGTTGAGAAGCCTGTGTGAGTGTCTGTTTTCCTCTGCAGTTCAGTCATCTGGCTGTCTGGGGAAGCATGCTGACCTGGCTGGTGTTTTTCGGCATCTACTCGACCATCTGGCCCACCATTCCCATTGCTCCAGATATGAGAGGACAGGTGAGTACTCCTGATGGGGAGTGTGCCTTCTGTGTCTTGTGACAGCAGTGTTTCTCCACGTGGGGGTGAGCAGGCTCTCTGTGTCTTACAACCACAGTGAGCTTCAGGAGAGGCTGGCCCTACCTGCTTCCATCAGAATCTATCAAGAGACAAACCAAACCAAAGCACCTAGAAGAGGTCATCCAGTCCACAGAAATGGCATTTGAAGTTTAAAGAATTATGAAAACTGTCAACTTAAATCATCTGGCTTATTGGCATGCCCACATTTCCATCATAAATGATGCGTTACTTACAGATAGTACTGATGTGTACAGTTTGAAAACTGGAGCTATTTTGAGTGGTTCCTAATCCAGTGATGACACCGATTACAGTTTTGATGTTGTACTCTGGTTTGCTGTTATACTCTGCTGGGTCACCTGTGAGAGATGGATCTCACAGCTCTATGAACCAGATCACTGATAGACCAGAATCTCTCATTGTTCATCTCTTTGAGCTAGAGAGGCCGAGATTAAAGAACTTCACACTCATTTGAACGGTTTTTTTTCTTTCATATTATCTTTGTCCAGTGCATGAGGTTGAGCCATCAACAGTGACCAACTGGATCCTAGAATCCACAGTATTGGGTATGGAGAGGAATGAGCTTGACAGTCCTGTGGTCCACACCTCCTCAGTTTACCAAGGAAGCTGTGCAGGCCCAGGTCTCCAAGCCCACCCCAGACCCCACCCTGGGTTTGCCCATATCCAGCACTGCCCTTAGACCCCAAGAGCTGCTGGACCCTCCGCTTTAGAGGACTCTGGTCTGGCCCTCTGTGGCTGGGTGTGTTTCTCGGCACAGAGTGAAAAGCTGTGATGCACACAGCCAGTCTTCCCATTCGTAATCTATTCCCTGGGCTTCCAGGACCCCGTGTTTCCTTCCCAAACAGCCAGAAGCCTGATGCCCAGGCCTACTCTGTCCTCTTTCTGTATCCAGGCCAGTGTGTACACCCCTGGGCCCAATGGGAACTGTTTGCAAGAGTGTGCACTGAGTAGATTGATGGTGTTCCTGCCCACATTTGCAGGATGCTCATGCAGGGACACAGAACCCGGGGTGGGAAGGGAACAGTGGGTCAGGCTTCCATTGGTCTTCCTGCCCCAGGATACATATTTTAGAGCCAGGCCTGTGCATGGCACACCTGGCTGCTAACTCTGCCTTACTTTGTAGAAATGAACAAAACCTCCTGGGTCCACCCAAGTCTGGACCATGTCTAGCAGCTGTCTCTCGTGAGATAGCCCAGGGTAGCATTACTTGCCATAGCTCTGTCAGCTAATAGCCCAGGGTGTCCAAGACCTTCACTGAGTGTGGGCGCTGAGCAGGATGAACCTGTCCTATAAGAGTGGACTTGCATGTCCTCTAATGCATCTTTGCTTTCTGTAAGAAAAGAGGACAAGCATAGGAGGTACGTTTCAGTTATTTTTCAAATCCAGGTGGTAGAGGAAATTAGAGGGTGTTCAATGAACCCAGAAGATTGCTGTGTAGCAAAATGAGCATTTTCCAACAAAGATATTTTGTGTTTAAACAAATCAGTTCTATTTTAAAGCAATGTGATTGTTCCACACAAAAAGCAAACCAAGAAAATTATCCACTACAAGGCAACAATCCTTTGGTAAAGCATTGGTGCTTAGAATATCTGCTTTGTCTTCTCTTCCTTCTGGTTCAGGGTGGATCTGCTGTGATGAACATTTCATCTGGGGAATTTTATGATGCTGTAGAATAGATGGGGCCTCAGCTGATGGCCATAGACAGTTTTCTAAATTAGAGAGTGACAGCTGACAGAACGGGGTCACTTGGCACTTGACTAGCAGACAAAGCCCATTCCTTTGAAAGCCCCTCTGGTGTCCTAGACAGAGAGCTGTGTCAGGGGGCCAAATGTGCTTCAGTAACTCCAAATGTGCGTGAGTTAGGCTGCTTGCCAACTCTCACTCCCATCGAGATACTGACTTTGGAACTGCAGAAGGACCAGGCTGATCGTGCAGTTACTAAGGTACCACCATTTTCACTGTACCAATCACATAAGCGTGATGTTCTGTATGGTTATAAGGCTCAGATTGATGGTGAAATTTACATATTTAAGGACTCTTCCAGCAGAAATCGAGTGAACTGTTTCTACCATCCAGAAGCAAAGAAGTGATCTTATTAAACCACATTTCACTTTTCTGTAAAAGCTTATTTTTACTTTTATTTGAAACATATCATTTTAATCACTTTATTGGTCAGTTCCTGTGAAGCAAATGATAACGATGTGAAATAGATCACAGCTGGGTGAAACTGAGGTTCTCATCAGGCAGTAAATGAGAGGATTAGTGTAGCTCTCTAGTGGCCAGACTTCCGAGTAGGTACTCTGCTGTCTGAGTCTAAAGAGCCGTGTGTCATCTCTGCTCTTCCTCCAGTGCAGGGGGCACTGAGTGGGTAAAGGGGGCCAGGAAACCAGGTGTAACTTTAGTGGCACAGCCAACATTTCTACTGTTTCACCTGCATCCTGCCACTCTGTATTTTGACTCAGAGGTTTGTTCATTCTTTGAAAAATGGCAGGGAAGTATTAGAAAACATCTTTTTTTAACACTTTTGAAGGACTGCTTGGGCGGATGGTGGCTAAGACAAGTCTGGAGTCTCAGAACTTCCTACTGGCTCAGGAGGACTTGTATGCTGTCATAAAAAGAGATAGGAACTGGGTTCAGGTGTAGTCAGTGAAAGCAATTGGCTCTTTTGGGGAATTACTGAAAATATGCCCGTGCCCTATTCATTCCTGGGGGTCTAGGTTGACAAATGCTTAGGAGCAAACGGTATTCTAGGAAAAGGCCACTTTTTAAAATGACTATTTTAAGAATGCCTCTAGTGATTTTTATGAAGTATTTTTTGTAGTTCACTAAACAGTAGGTTTTTGGCAAGTGAACCTGGTTATGTGAGGTTCTAGAATTAAATTGTTGCCTAATAGTAAACAGCATTTCTCACTCAGAAGCCAGAAAGACATTTGACACACAAAACATTTTGTCTATTCATAACATCTTCAGCCATTGAAAAGATGCATTGTTTCTGCTGGGGGTTTCCTAAACTCATTTGATTAAATATTTCTTTGTCTTGTCCATCATATTTGGAGTTTTTCTCACGGGGGAGAATGCAAGTTTTCCCTGGAGGGCAAAGGAAAGGAAGGGCTATAGAATTGGGTTATTCTACACTATCAAAGAGTCTTTATCTTCCCTAAATCACCTCATGATATGGTATGTGAAACCCAACCAGACAACATGTCAGGAAGTCCCAGTGGAAGTTTCTAAAATCAAAGAAGTCATTTGCATCCTTCCTCTCCTGAAAGTAAGCCACATTTGTGGGATTTTAAGGGGAACCTTACCCTGTTTTTCCATTTTTCTCTTTTCAGGCTTGGATTTGTAGTAAATTAGGTTGTGTCTATCCTGGTGGATGCCAGTCCTCAGCTATGGAAAATAGGTGATGATGTTTTTCCGTGGGGGACCAGGTGTTTTTCTTTTCCCTGGTAGCATAACCAGGAGATAGAATAGATCCCCAAAGCAGATACTTAAAGGTGGAAAATGACAAAAAATCCCTTAGCTCACTGCCTTCCCCAAAGTTGCCTGCTAAAGTAGAGCTTTGAATTGGAAAGATGAGGGAAACTTGATCCTAGACCAGATCAGGAAGTGTGTTTCTGTTTTCTTCATGCATTCCCAACACTTCTGACTTTAGCAGTGCTGGAGGTAATGCCATCTTACTTGATCTTTATTCAAAAGTCCGGAGACCTGGCTGGGTTCATACCCCAGCTATGATAGTTATGTAACCATTGGCAAATCATTTTACTTGCATTAATCTTCTAATCAGCAAAGCCAGAATAATGCCACCCACCTTAATTATCTTGGAGGATTCTGGTGAAACTATAATAGGCCAACCTGTGGGGAATCTAAAACATGCATGCTCTTCATTTTCCTGGAGTGATGAATTGTCTTTGAACCTTCGTAGATAGGAATATTGCTGTGATTTAAACTCCAAATTCTTTTAGCCAAAGAATTTTAACATTTTGTAGGTTCTAAATGGGATGCTTTTCAGTAAGGCCTATTGGCCACCTGCATCCAAATCATCTGTGTTGCTTGTCAAAATGACAACACCCATCCCCCATAATATGTGCAGACAATCACATACACACACACACACACGAACACACAAAGACACACCATGCACACATACAGACACACACATGCACGCGCACACACAGAGACACACACACACACATACACAGACACACATACACAGACACACATAGTGAATTGCAAACTCTAGGTGTGGAATCTCAGCATCTGAGCTTCAGTAAATCTCCAGGCGATTCTTCCCTTTAAAGTCTGAGAACCACTGCTTCAAAACACCAAAAATATGACTCTATTGGAATGGCTTTAGCTCTTGCTGGGTATTACATGTTAAATGTTTATATAAGACAGTCAGCTGGCGATGGTGACCGCCTTCAGGGCGGCTAGCTTTCAAAATAGGGAATTACACCAAAAGACATGACATCGTTCACCACGGAAAAATTCTCCTCACTAACTTTTGCTGCTTTTCCTTTAAAGTTCCTTTTATTGCTAGTAAAAGAGAGGGGAAAAAAACCTTTTGATTTCAAAGCATACAATCTGCAACTCTGCCTCTAGTGCCAAACTCCTGACTCCAGCCAGTTTCTGGAATAGGACAGGCTTTTTTATTATTATGATTATTCTAAATACAAGAATGGGTTTACTGTTGGGTTTTATGTACACACTTGTGTACACACAATGCAAATCCCAGTGGACTATATGTAAACAGAGGAAGGAATGGTTCTGCCATCATGGAATCAGTGATTAATTAATTCTGCATTTCCGCAATCATTTCCCGTGGATTTGTAGCAGGCCTAGGTATGTTCCACGTGAAATTTGCAATGAGCGATGTTTCCCAGTTGTATGTGCTCTAGAAGGGAAACTGAGTAGTTGGGGTGATG